TCAATCATAAGTCTTTCAAAATAACTTATGCAAGCCTGTGGTTTTTGCCTTTATGAACTGCGTCTTTTTCCACCCGCCTCAAGAGCACATTTCAGATTCCTCCTGAATTCCTAAAGACCCCAAATTAACTTCTGCTTTGATTTGCAGCCTCAGTTCTTTCTTGTTTAATACCCACGTGCCCCTCTTCCTCTTCTATCCTCCCCTGGGCTGGAGGCCAGGTGCTGGCAAGGCAGGGTCACTGACAATGTTAATTAGTGATTTGGGGATGTCAGTCACCCTCACTTTACAGCCCTTTATGACCTAGCAAAGGATTGCACACATGGCCTTCAGTTCCCAGCAACTCTGTTCTTGGACCAGGGTCCTCCTTGCCACCCACTAGTCATTGGGTCACCCCTCTTGCTTCTCTGGGGCTTCTTCCATAGAATTTACTGTCTGGCCCACAGTGGAACATATTCTGTCGTGGTTCTTCTGTGTTGGCCTTCCTGAGGTCAGAAATCAGAATTCTTCACAGTGCTAGGATACCTATAGCATGCAAAAAATACTATCAAATGGATTTCTCCTCTCCAATCTCCCTCCCTCCCTACTCCCACAACTGCCCACCTGGGACTGCATCCATTATCTGAATTAACTGTGTCTCCGATACTTGTGGGATAGCTCAGTCCAACTGGTTGCACTTCAAGTGGTCTGGAGCTTTGTCAATCAAGACAAATTCAAGGCCCCTGGAAATGCCCTTTTCCTAAAGATTAAGAGCCCTTACAGCCTACCCTGGCTAATTATAATCACCTGGGCAATAAAATACACAGGTAGAAGAAAACTAACATGGCCCCATATGTCTATGGGAAATTTTGCAGTGGTTTAGTGTGTGGGTTCTGGAACAATACTGCTGATTTTAATCCTGGAGCTGCTACTTTATAGAAGTGCTACCTTATGCAGTTAATCCAATCTATTTATTGCCTACCATTCCTCATCTGTAAAACGGTGATAAGAATGGTACCTTACCTCATACAGATGCTAAGTTAACACATGTGTAGAGTGTCTGGAGAGTACCTGGCCCATAACAAGCTATGGCAAAATGAAAAACTATTCTCTGGTAGCTCTACTGACAGCTACAGAAGGATAGGGATCAAAGGAATTTTCTATAGCCACTTGGAAGTGGAAAATGGAAAATGCGATCCTAATTAGACTTCCCCTTTTTATTTCAGAACCTAAAATATGGTTGAAACAAAAATACGCCCTGTCGACAAAACTTTACCCAAAACAGTAGATACCTTTTGGTGACTAACAAACCGCTCCAAAGGAAAACCTCGTCTTTCTTTACTCTTCTCTTTCAACTATCCCTCCTCTCCCAATTCTCAAGCCACTGAAGCCATGATAGATGGAAGCGCTGACTGCCCTTTGGAAAAGTGTCGTCCTTCAGCATAATCTAAGTTTTACTTCTGGCCCCCCAGAGGATTGGTAGATTCTTTTTCACTTAATCACCAAGCCAGGGGCTGCAGACCCAGCTTACCAGGGCATCTGTAACTCAAGCACATGTGGGAAGCAGCGGGCTTCAATTTACATTCCAGAGTCTCAGAACTGAGGATATGAGAAAGCACACCGAGTAGGGGCTGAAGGAGAAGCAGTGGCTTACTTAATTCGCAAACCAGAGTGAGTTTAAATAAACCCACAGTCCGGGAAGTTAGATTGGTTTGGGAGAGGGCGCAGCATCCTTTGAAATATAGCAGCTGACAACCCCAAAACGCTATTTTGCACTAGTAAAAATGCCTGATGGCAAGCTTGCAGGCGACCGAGGGCGAAGTGATGGAGAATTGGGGTCGGAGAACTGTGTCCTCCACCGTCGCCCCTTTCTCGGGATGGCTGATGTAGTTCTCCTCTGGGTTCACCCTCCGTTGTCCAGCCAGTCCGTTCCTCAGCACCGGCGGCCACGGGGGTCTCCCGGCACCTCCGCGTCCCAGGTGAGCGACCGCTCGAGAGAGGAGGGCACTGCTTTCGAGACCCGGGGACCGGCTGGATGGGCGGCTTGGAAGAAAGCGGTTGACCGGCGAAAAGAGAACACAAACCTTTGCCGCGGCGCGGTGGCCACCCGCCGGGAGCCTGATGCAGTCTCAGGCCAGCGTTTCCCACCTTTGGGCGACTGGGCGCAGCGCTGGGGTCGGGAAAACCTCGGTGGCTGAGCGAGGGCGGCGCGGCGGGCGTGCTCTCCCCGGGCCCTACACCCACCCCGCACGCCCCCTCCCCTCCGATTCCGAGGCGGCGCGGCTGGGCTTGAGGCCCGCGCCCGATATCCAGGCGCGCAGGTCTGGCGCGCGCTCACCTGTACTGGTCGAACTTGGCGTACATTCCCCACTCGGCGGGATCGCTCTCGTAGGCTTCTAGCACGGCCTGCACCTCCTCCACGTTGACCTCCTCGGCGGCGAAGAGCTGGTGCAGGATGCGGATCAGATCGGCCAGGGTGCGCGGCTTCAGCACCTCGGTCTGCTCCATCCCCGCGGGAGCTGGCTGCGCGCGCTCGTCTCTGCTGGGCGGTGGCGGCGGAGCCGAGCGGGCCGAGGCCGAGGGGCCCCAGCAGCTAGCTAGACAGCTACACACACACACACACACACACACTCACGCCCCTAACTCGAGTGCCACAGCGGAAAGAAACCCGCACGAAGAGATCAAGGCGGGTGTGGGGGCACGCGGTGCGCCTAAATCGTAACAAAACTGCGGGTCCAGCCTCCCCTGCCTTTTTAAAGCTCTAGGAGTCAGCGGGAATGTACCAACGGCGCTGGAGGGTGGGGAGAGGCGGGGAGCTACCGCGGAGAAGAGGCGGAGGCGGCGGGGCCGTGCGGGCGGGGGCCGTGCACGTGGTCTCGGCCCCCACAGCCCTGCTCCAGGGCGAGCGCCCGGCTGTCCCGCGGGCCTGCGCCCGCCGTAGGCTCAGAGCATCCTCTCCCCCACCTGGCGGCGCGCGTTCGGCCGCCCAGCCCAGGCCCTCCGCGCGCCCCCGCACCCCCCGCACCCCCGCGCCCCCGCCGCTCCGGGAAGACTCCCCTCTGCCGAGGTTCGCGACGCTGGGATGTGGACTGAGGGGTTCAGGAGAAGGCCCGGGGACGGCTGAGGAAGGAAGGGGAAGGAAAGGGACCCCTCCTTCCAAGTAGCGCTGAGGAACCACTCCCCAGTTGGAGAGTTGCTGTTTTGTAACATGCTTGCTCCAGGCTAGATGAAAATAAGTCCGTCTTCCATCTAAATGGACTGTACTGAAAGTACATTTTGACAAAGGAGACTCGGGTCTCGAGCAAGATTAGTGAAACGATGGAAGGCCAGGTATCCCTCTTTGATTCTTTTTCAAATCAAACATTTCCTTAAAAAATAAGATTCAGTGCAAAGCCCTGATGTTCAATCAGTGGTGAGAAGAAATGCTAGTTTTTTGGCTCCTAATGCAGCTATTTAAAGGGTAGTATATTAGGCTATTTAAGCCTTTTAATTCAAGGTGTGTGATTTTTGGAGCCTGCCTGTAATACATATCAGGAAACATTTCTATGCTGTGCATAGCACTTAGCACGTTTTGAGAACACCACAAATTAAGTATGAACAGAAATAAAAATATGAGGGACAAAAGAACTAAATGCAAGTATAGATTCTTTTTATAAATGGACCTAGGGATTAATTTGGATTCAAGGTTATTAAAGGTTTAGACCTGGAAGTCCAGTTTGTTTTTTCTAGGTTTTGCTTCGACATGTGTATGCATATACATGTGTATGTATAAAATATATATATTTAAATTTACTTGTGCCACCTTAAGTCTTAAACCTCCCTGGCTAAACTGATTAAACAATATAAGTATTCTAACAACGTAGTTAGTTAAACTGGCACCTCCATCACCCGTTGTTCAAAGAGGGCTATTGGTAGAAAGCGTCCCTGAAGCCAACCTTTTGTAGAGAGGTTGAGTGAAATATTTTGGGTCACAATAATTCATCCACTTTTCATTGTTTATGCACAATTATTATTTTTTAAATTTTTTATTAAGTATTATTAATATACACTCTTATGAAGGTTTCACATGAAAAAACAATATGGTTACTACATTCACCCATATTAACAAGTCCCCACCCATACGCCATTGCAGTCATTGTCCATCAGTGTAGTAAGATGCCACAGATTCACTGTTTGCCTTCTCTGTAGGCACAATTATTTTTATTCTTGTCAATGCTTTCTGTTGAGTCTCAATTACTGCATTTCAGCTATTCTAATCCATGAGTGTTTGAAATGAACAATGAACAACAAAAGTCAAGTACAGGCTTAATTTCTCTGCATTTCATAGTGGATTGTATGCCTCTCGGTTTTTTGGACAGACTTTTTCCTATTTTCTCTGGCTCTTCTTGACTCTCAAACACCTCAGGAATCTTTCCTAATATAACAATATTCACAAATTCACGTTCATTGCCTCTAAACAGTCCCTTGAAGTCCCAATTGCATTGGTCACTTCTCCCTGGATGCCTCTTACATTACCCTAATTTTTCCACTGAGATCAGTCTCAACATCTCGACACCTAACATGCAACATATTTGAAATGCCTTGTAAGCCTGCTTTTCAAGTGCTGGAGGCTGTTTCTGCAATGAGGCAAACCAGGCTCACCCACCTCACCCATCAATGCCTACTTTTTCCTTATTTCATTTTTCAAGCCCTTTCAACCAACTGTTATATTTTCTATTTCCATAATATTTTATAGTTTTATGAAATTAAAAGAGGCTTGCTTTCAAGCTTTATTCTATTTTGACTGGATTGCTGCCCTGGCCTCTAAATGCATTCCTTGGTTCCAGCTTTTCCCCATGTGAGTCCTTTACTCACAGCCACTAGATTAATTATCCTAACGCATAGATGGATGATGTAATTTGCTGGCTGGAAAATTTTCAGTTAACTCATACTTCCTACATACCAGGAATGTCAGTCTGACATTTAAAGTTCCTCATATTTTGGCTCTAAATCACTTTTTTCAAATATATATTGTCAAATCGTTATTTCTCATGCTTACCAAATCCATTCTTTTGCTTAAGCTTTTCCTTCCACCCAGATTCTAGGCCTTTTCAACATGTCCACATCTTAAAGTCTTAGCTCAGAAGCCTTCCTCTCAAAAAAACAGTATCTCCTCCTGAACATTGGGCCAATATCACGCTTTCCTATGGCCCTTACTAGGAAACATGTATTGCAGTTACTCATGTGGGTCATCTTGACAGTGAGAACCTTTAGGACAGACTCCACTTACATTTTATTTTATATTCTCCTCAATGCCTAGCACACAGTGCTTTGTGTATGTATAAATGAAGGTAGAAAAAGCATATCAGTAATTGGCTAGAGTAATTCAATTGCTTGTTCTTGTTCAGATCCTAGAGTTGTGAATTATCTAACCATCCATTCAACACATTTTTAAAAGCATGTGCTACATGCCAGGCACTGCTTATGAATTAAGTCTCTGCTTTTCGAGGGCTTATGTTCTAATGTGGGGATTGTTGGGAATGTAGACATGCCAATAGATAGTACATATAGTATACATGCAGAAATGGGCAAATACTATGCATTATCAATGGAGAAAAATTAAGCAGGGGAAGGAGGTGTGCAGTGGTGTTTTCATTTCAGAGGGAGTTCAGGGGAACACTTCCTTTATGAAGTGGTATTTGAGCAGGGAAGGAAGGATGTTAGTGAGACTCACAGCTGTCTGGGGGAAGTTTCCAGATGGAGGAAACAGTCTAAGTGGAAAAGCCCTGGGGGGAAACACGAAGTTGCAAGCTTAGTGTTTGAGTAACAGTGATGAACATGGATGTGGCTGGTGGCAGGGTGTAAAAATGGGGACTTTTTATGTGGGGATGGACCACTTAGGCCCTTGTAGGACGATGTAAGGTCTTCAGCTTTCAGTCAGATATGGGGAGCAATTTGGGGATTTTGGCCAGAGGAGAGAGCAGGTAAAGGCAAGTCAGTTAGTTGGCTATTAACAATTTTAGTGAGATAACGGTGACTTTGGCTAGTGGGAGCAGAAGTGATGATCCTGGACATATTTTCAAAGTAAAAAGCTGCCAGGATTTGCTAACAGATTTGGGAAGTGGGTTGTCTACAGAGGGACTGAGAATGAGTCTAAGCATTTGAAAGGAACAGACTTGCCACAAGCAGGAGGACTGGGTTGGAAATGGAAAAAAGACATGCTTCATGAATCTAGATACTAGATACAGAGAACAAATAGCTGAAAGAGGCACGCAGGAAGACAGTTCTATAGGAATAGAGCCATCTTAAATGAAGTGTTTCCTTTGTGGCTATCACCAAAAGAAATCAACATAAGCTTCATGCGTTATCTCCTGTAAGGACATGGAAGCAACTACAGGAGTTGATTTACAAGGATTCTTCTAACTGAAGAGTCTACTCACAATCATACACACACATATTTTATCTTTCCAGAAAATACAGGTAAATCTATTATTTGGTATCAAATGTTACTTACTTCCCATTATTTCTAAAAATTCAGTTAAAAAGTCCAATTATTTAAAATCATTATCTGAAAACCTGCTTCCAAATTAGAATGATAGGGCCATAAGTCCAGGGATCTTACTGATCTCATTCCAAATGCTGAGGACATCATAGGCAGCCAGTATGTGAATGAACAGATGGAAAGTATGAACACATCTAAGTTTATATTGTTTCAAGGCTTTTGATAGATTTTGCAAATTTCACTAAAAATGTAGTGCCAATTCACATTCCATTCACCAAGATGATAGGCATTTTCCCACAACTTTGCCATGACTGATAATTACATTGCTTTTAATTATTGCTATGATGGGTGCTAATCAGCATTTCATTTTTTTTATAACTTTTTGTGCTTTAGGGCCATCTTTTTTTTTATCAATTCTATTTTAATATTTCCCCCCCCCTTTTCAGATGTCTTTTTTATCAAATGAAATGAGTTCTTCACATACTAGGCACTAAAACCCTGTCAGAAGTTGCAAATATTTTCATCTCCTGCCAGATGTCTTTTATTGTTGCTTTTCTAGGTTAAATCATACTTTGCAAGCCACGCTATCATTCAATATAAATAAGTGATTATATATGTGTAAGGAAATGTATTAAGTATTATGTGTGTGGATACCAAATAAGAAACAAAAAAAGCCCTATTTTCAGGAACACTAATCATGAAAGGGCATCGGACGCCTGCTTGTAAGTGTTGTAATAGTGACACTTTGCTGTAAGTATTCCACTGAGACAGTATCTCCTCCTTGATTGATTCACACAAACTAAGTTAAAATCTGAATTAAGCAGAGAGGATTTGAAGGGGTGAAGGTGTAAGTACACAGATGTAGGACACAAAAGGCACATTCAGGGAATAGTGAACACTCACATTCAGTGTGGGTTGGAAATGTAGGGAAACAGTATTTATAAGACTAAGCCTACTGTATCATTTTCTGAGTACTTTTCAGTATGTGATTTGTAGCCGACTTCCCTAGTGCCAGCAGCTTACCCCGTATATTACAATCCTTGGAAAATGAAGCAGAAGCTGCATGAAAGGCAACTTTCATTTTTAAACTCTTTACACCAGACTTTCCCATTTCTGGTTACACACAACTAAGCTGACTAATGCTATTTAACCTAAGGCATAGTCTGTACCTCTTCAGTTTTCTAATCTGATTAGAGTAGGTGATATTTAAGGTCCCTTCAGGGTTAAAACTTCTAGAAATCCTAGATTCCAGGAAGTACCTAATCTCATTTTGATTACAGATAAACATTCACTTTCCTCACACACCAAATATTGGGAATTCATGAAGTCCTTGGTATAGGTTATCTTCAAAGATAGACACACAATATTCTAATATTGTACACACTATATGCCGTAGGCCATTTCTGCACAGTAAGATAAAGCATGACACTGACACAGATTTCCTCATAAACATGGGAAACTGAAAATAGAGGCTGAAGGTTCAACCCCTACCCCTCAAAGTTCAATTATAATTAACACAGTTTAAACAGACATCTGCAAAAATATCTGTATTATGTTTGAGTTTCTAGTCACTCAATAACTTAGGGGATCCAGGCCTGTAAACTGAGGATTGCAAAGTTAGTACAGAATGATTAATTCTTTGGGCAAGGATTAAGAGATAAAAATGTAGATATAGTTTGAAAAAGTGTAAAGCCCTGTAAGTTCTTTAAGGTCATTAGGGAAGAAAACAAAAAAGATACCTATTTTGCTAACCTTAGATTTAATAAATACATTATTTAGATAAAATAACAATTAAATTGATGTCACAAATTCAAACTCAAGTAGTTCTGACTGTTGAGGTAGTAAATATTCTATCATCTGAAACCTTGGCTGCAAACATATAAACATATTTTTGCTATCTATTAAATATAGAAGCATATAAATATATCCACATCTTTCAGTGAACTGTAGACAAAGCTGGGTAAGAGATCTTTTCTGTATCTAATTTTATTTTCCAGCTTTCAACATATATAAATGTCCTACCAAGTCTTACAAGACAAACTTGCACAATTCAACCTGTCTTGTTCCAGTGCTAACTACTAGCTGTAATAACTTACGACACAGGGGCACCAGTATAAGGGACTTAAAATACATATTGGTCAGAAAATAAGAGCTGAACAGTAATTTTATCACTGTAAACTGAATTGTTCCTTAGCACCTTTATTGCTAATGTATGGCAAATCATTAACCATAAAGTACATTTTGGTATTTAAGGGACCTAAGTGTAGTTATTCTGACAAAATCATACCATTTCTATTATCTTTGAAAATAAACACTTTGTTTTTGGACACACCTTAGATCCTGTTTGGATATTGCATTCGATTTATTGGAATGCTTTTTTTCCTTAATGCTCTATTGCCAGTATTATACAGAATGAAGAAAAATTAAATCTCACTTAAAGCAATTACTATCCCAACAGCATCTGCAAAAACAGTACTTTTAGTCATGGCATGAAATGCACATAAAATCTAAGGCTATTTTTTAACAGGTTTTGAGCATTTTCAAGTTGGCAAAATGGATTATAAAAAACTCAATGTTGTCAAATTTACTCACTGAATGCTTTCGACACTGTAATAACAGGGACAGGATAACACCACAGTTATAACCACTGGGATCAAGAATCATTAAATGATAGGACTGAAAAGAGCTATATGACTAATTTGTACACAATTTGTAAAATTCCTTGTTTCCCAATATAATAAGTAAATCTCAACCACACATTCTCTAAAGCAGAATTCCAGTGTGTCAACACATGTGCTCTCTTGTCTAGATGTTTGCTAGAAATTAGCAGGAACAGCTTTTTTCCTCCATCATCATCTGGCAAAGATGACTGAAAACCAATTCTGCCAAGCTGGGCTGCCCTCTACTGGACCACGTGAGGTATAAAGCCAGCTGGTCAATGTGACTGTTTCACAACACTGAGGACATAGATGTAAATGAGAAAAGGCATTTTCCATACCTCAAACAAACTGAACTTTGCTGAATAAGCACAAAAATAATCCTTCAGTAAGCTGACTGTTACAGTGGAAATAAATCAGCAGAGTGCTCAAGTAAATAACTTCAGTCATTTTGAAAACTGCTAATAAAGAAGCTGTATACTATCTTAAATTTCCTTTTCAATCCCTCAGATGCAGATCTGGAGCAATTGCTGTAGTAATGGGTATACTCTAATGTCAATCTTTTATGATCATGTATTAATACAAATCACCCTTTTCTGAGTCCATCTATTCTATGGAATTTTTTTATGCATAAACATGGACCATAGATAAATGCTGAGCAGATCATATCCACAAGTCTCTTGCCACAAGTATCAAAACTTCTCAGGGCCGTTTCCTTTGTGAAGATTCATTTAAGTAGCAAGATCTTTTTCTCTGTAGTTCATCCCCATGCCTGAGATTTGCAGTAATGTAGGACCAGTTTACCATCACTGCCAAAACACTACAAAAAGAAAAAGGCAATAAATTAAACTCCATTTTTGTATTGCTTGGGTGAAACTAACAAAAAAATGTCATATCTATCATAAATATCGTCAAACATAAACATGTAAGTTATCTGCAGGGCTACTTCTTTTAACAAAGTCAAGATGCTATGCTCTCAGACACTTACCAGTAATCACAAATGCTTTAATCTTGCCCCTTCTGTACATCTCTAACTATAAAGTATGTACTGTTTTCGAGTAGCAGTGTTAGTATATTTACTCTAATGATCACTGCATTGAAGATGTATGACTTGACTACAGTCATTCTTATGCAGTCTCCTTTTCAATTTCCTGGAGGCAGATCTGGATTAGTGTACTTCAAAGTCATCTTCTGTTAGTATTATTCATCCCTTAATTCTTCAATCACCGCATAATTTACTGAGATCGAACTATGTTCAAGGTGTTATGTTAGAGATGCAAGAGAGAACAAAAATATAATCTCTTTCCTGACAGATGATTAAGAATGATATATGATCTCTTAAAACAATGATGTGAGTTAGTGATCACACAATATACAGATGTACATATTCTATTAAGAAAATAAAGCAGTTATGTTTTACCTCATAGAGGGTTCCAACTTCCTGATCTGGGGAGGGGGCAAAGGACTGATTCACATAAATAAACTGCAAGAAAGAAACAAAAGTTATGGTCACTCATTTTTGAAGGTATTGATTAATCTGCAATTTTCTGGGTTGCAATTAGCCAACTATTACAAGTTTTTTTCAGAATCGAAGAAAGCTTCCTTCAACTCCTTCCTTCTGATTTTCATAAATTAGTCAACTAATGAGATCTTTATAAAGATCATGCCTTTCCTCCAGAAGAATAACAATAACAGAATTTTTGTTCTTAGAACAGGTTTCCAACTTTTTATAAGAAACTTCTGAATACTGTTTTCACAAATGGCTTTTCAAAGTTTAAGAAATCACATTATTGAAAATACTAATTTTCCCATTTACTCATAACTAGAAACAGAATCTCTCATAGCAAAATTTCACACACATAGCCCCAACATCAAAAAACTTGATATATGAGATAGTCTGCGCATTTTTCTTGGGTAAAGGACATTTAGGGTTGTTTTTTTTTTGAGCTTTACCAGCTTTGAAAACTCTCAAAAGTACTGGTTTAGGCAGGGTGCCACTACTGTAGTCATCTGCAGCCAAACGAGAGAAAAAAAGTAATGTAACTGAAACCTAATGTCCTTACATTGTTCTTTGAAGGATTCACTGTTCAATGTTTCAGTTTAGTTTTTTACTAAAACATTTCTAGTACTTAAAAAAATTTTCTGAAGATACTGAAACAAAAGGCCAGTATTAAAGTGGCCGTTGATAATCTTTTTAGAAAACAAAACATTATTTGCTAGTAACATTTTCAATTTTTATGTCTCTGTAACTGTTTTCACGTTCGCCTTGTCTACATGCTCTTGGAGGCCAGTCCCGCTGCTCGCTTGCTTCTCTCAGCACGTCTGCTCACCAGTACCACACAGACCCTGCAGTTGCTGCTGTTTGTCCCCACCAACTTGCATTTTAGGGTTCATGAGGACACTGTCATCTATGTTACAAACACTGATCGCAGGTTTTTGGTTTCACTATCTAGTTGAGTGTTTTTGTGGGGAAATTTGGAGATTCAACCATGCCTTCTGACACCACTGCTATATTCCCAGAATCCCTAGCATTACTTCTTCCCTCAAGATCCATTTTGCTTAAAATAACATGGGGTACGGCTAGATGAAAGTCAGAAGGTGTGAGTTCAAGTTTAGTCTATGAAAGTGACAAAATGATTCTATTTTTATTTCCTATTGCTTAACTGGGAAGGGATAATCAGATTGACTACAAAAGTTTATAGTTGAACCACAACAAATTGCTGGTTTTATAGGTTAAAAGGTTGACTGATGGCAATTTAACATGGTTCAACCTAATAACATGTTGTAGCAATCAAGTCCTGTCAGATTATGAATATAAGCAATACAAAATGTCAACAAATACAAAACATTAACATAGAACATAGCATTGTTTCCATCTGTAAATTTCTGAATGTAAATGCCTTACTTGGTAGCCTCTGGTTTCTGACTTTGCTATCTCTTCATGCTAAACCCTTACTATAGACTGCTCATTTTTCTCAGGTCTATGTCCTCAGTTACCTAACTTTTCCATTTAGACTTGGACTCTACTCCGGAGGTATTAGCTGCCATACACATGAAGATGACACTTAATCGTCTTCCTACCCATCTCTGACATTCAATTAAATTCTACATGGTGTTCTTACAAAACTCTATTCTTACTCTGACTGATCACAAAGGGAGATGGTACACCTGTTAAACTCAAATACTCCCAACACCTTTCCCAAAGAACTGCCTTTGGAAGAATCTCTGGCTCTTTGCTCTTCTTGCCTCAAACAACTTTAGTAATTAACCTATCTTGAACTTACTTTTGTGCCTATGTTCCTTATGTGAGAGATATTTACAGCCAAACTCTTAGGTCAGTTTCCTCCTCCTCATGGACAAAGAAAAAGAAATTCCAACACATCCCGCTTTTAATAGATCAGTCCACTCATTATACCCATTCTCATCCTAAGTTCACAAACAATTATATCTCTTTCCAACACTTACACATACAAATTCTTAATTTGTATTTTAAAAATACTTAGTGGTTCTTCAATTACCTATCTACTCCTATGCTATGTATTAATAATGACCAAGATTGTGATCTGCAGATAAAGGTGTCTGATATAGTAATATAACATGTGACAAAATGCCAAATACATGTACACATTAAAATTTCTGTAGTTGAAAACCAGGGGCATTTAAAATATTAATCCTTACAATTGCCACCATGAAGTTCTTAACATGTACTGTACTATGAAATAAATTTCTCTTAATTCTTCTACAATGCATGGCAAATATATATTGCTTACCCCAAGAATGGGAAGGAAGCAATATTTATAACAAAACAAAACAAATAAAATAATCCCCAAACTTTCTGTACTAACGTTCTGTGAGTGATCTTTCTGTATGGGCTTTCAGTGACTTTCTGAGGACAAGAACCAATACAGTAGATAAAAAAATTGGCTCACATTGTAAAAGAATATCTAAAATTCACTGAAGGGTTCCACAGAGAATTCTTCAATAAAATACAGAAATGCCACCAACAGAAGAAATAAAAGGACATCACTGAAGTAACATGTGGCTCCATCTGCATTTCTATATTCAACAGTTATTCACTGTTGCCTATGAACTACTGTGAATTTTTGTAGGGAAATGATCACCATTCATTTCATACCAGCTGTTCTGAGGCCACAAGTTTAAGGAATTTTTTGATGAAGTCAATGAGTCCTTGGATGGTTCGGGTTCGCTCTACAGCCCACTTCTTTGTTTTCATTATTGGAGTGTCTCCCACAGCCTTTAACAGGATGTCAACTGTAAAGAAAAAAACAAAACAAAAAATCCAACAATCACACTGAACAATCTAAAAAGAATGTGATATAAAAGCTTTTAGAAAACTTAAACTTTGATCTACATAGTTTATGTATTTATGATACTGGAGGTGTGTCCAAGATGTAACATTCTTTATCATCATGCTTTTGTGGTTTTTTTTCCCCCTTGATCCTATAGTCCCAGAAAGGTCTCCCCATGAAATAACCTTTAAAATGTATTTTAACATAACAGGCAATTCCAAAGATAAGAAATATAAATGGTTAATAAAGATGAAAAAAAAATAACATCGTGGCCTTCTTTATTTATTCTTTATTTACTTTTTTTCTAATCTAGTAAAGATTAGAAAAGTAACAGTGTAGATGATACACTGTTCGGAAAACAAACTGTATATACCCTTTTCTGGACAGCAATATGGTAATACATATCAAAATACTTAGATATACTTCTCAATAAAAGCTTCTAGGAATCTAGTCTAATAAGAAATGCGAAGACTCACTTAGAAGGATTTCACCTTTGTTGAGCCATTTCTTTTATAGAAAAAAAATGGTAAACCTAAGCATCCAACAAGGATATTTAGAGGGGATTGGTTTAAATGAAGGATATTATACTCCATGATAGAATTTATATTATGTAGTAAGAGCACACACTCTAAACTCCGCAGGTTCAAAATGCCAGCTTTAGCACTTGTGGGATATTTACATCCGGGTCAACTTTTCAATTTTTTTGTGCCACAGTACCTACTTCCTAAGATTGTTGTAAGAATTAAGTGAGTTAATACATAGAAAGTGCTTAGAAAAGTATCAGCTTGTAACTCGCACAGATTATTAAGCTGCCAATGAAGACATATACTACAAAAACAAGTAACAGTATGAAAAGGACACCAAAATGTATCAAATATAAAACCATGTAAAATGTGGTCTCAGTTTCATCAAAGCTGTCAGAAGCACATACTCACGTTAAGTGTGGAATATGCACCAAAATGCTATTTCTCAGTAATGACATTATAGGTGATTACTATTTGGGTTTATTTGTGCTTTTCTGCAACCAAGTTTTCTAAAATAAATTTTTTAATAGAGGAAAACAATGAAAATTATTAAAAAGAAAGTACCACAACTAGGAGCCAAAAAGGTTTAGAGAAATCAAGTTTCAATAATCCAAAATACAAAGATACAAACCCAAGGACTATGAATTTACCTCCTGAAGTTACTTTGCTAAAGAAATACATCTACAATCAAAAGTAACACTGAAAGCAAAGTAGTGCACCGCTCCCCGCGAACATTAACTCCATTTTATTACAGCCTGCTTGTCCTATTCTTTGGCATTAAAAATTGGGACCCAATAGGGGTCACTGAAATCAATTTATTCATGTCTACATCTGAATGAAGGCACCTAGAAAACATGATGCACACCATTTATTTTCCTGCTAAAGTTTATCTTCCTTCCTCCACTTAATGACAGCTTCAGTTATCGAGGATAATGATGAACTGGGACAAAACAGGATTTTGGTTACCGTATCTTCCGTATGTCCCCATCCCTGCTCTCTAAATTCACTGGGGCTATCAATAAGTCAGGTGTAACTGAGCAACACAAGAAAGTGAAGCAGAAAGTACGAGTTGCACTGCTGAAGGAAGAACAGGAGGGCAAGGACTTAGCGGAGGCAAAAAATTTTTTGTAAATTGTAGCTGTACTTTTTTTAATCCTATAGATGATTTTCTTGTAGTTCTTAATTCCAGCTACACGTTATGTTCAAAAGCTCCCACCAGTGATCCTAATGTGCAGTCAGGACCAACAGCCTGGTTCTGACTCTGTCATCTTTCTTACGTAGATTAAAAACCAAAGATGAAGCATAGGAAATGTTTAAGCTTCTTTCATCAAAAAAAGGATGAAAACTTCAGGGTGGAAATTAAAAAGCTACACACTTATGTTTTATAGAGGCAAACTCCAAAGCTCAAAGGAGCCAGAAAATGAAAATAACCATTTTTCAATAATGGTTAAATGAAAAATACTGTGCAAAGGAAATACGCCGTGTAACCGTGTGCCACATCGGGTGGTGGGCCATTATTTTTTAGCCTGTTTTACACAGCCCTTTCAGGGTCAAGTATAAAGTTTTTGACCAAGGCTCTTAGAATTTAAAACAAACCCTTTCAAAGTGTGTTGTTCCTGCTTATAGTAAAATGGAAGAAAATGAGAAACAAAAATCTAAAACTCATGGAATTCTTCAGAAAGATTCTCGTGGTTATCCATACAAATAATCACGGTGTCCCTTTCTCTACCAGCGGAAATTGGCTGTGCCAAATGTACAGGCAGTCTCACGCAGGTGGGGACGGTGCCGGAGGAGAGAAATGTCCTCCACAGCAGCAGAAACTGCAGTCCGACGAAAGGTGGAGATGACTGAGCCACACTTACTCTTTAAGGCCCGACCAAGAAAACCTGTCTGTGGCCCAGGGTCAACGTCTCTCAATCCTAACTACTGACTTGCTGCTTTTCTCAGAGGCAACGCTAAGGAGGGCTCCAGAACAAGTAACTTCCTTAGGAATTTCTGTATTTTACAATGGCGAATTAATACTCAAGCACTAAAGGGTTCAGGCAGCTAGCTGAAGTGGTGAAATAACGCTTCCAGAGTGGATTTTTTTAAAAAAAAGGCGATGCCTATCCTTTAGTTTTCCCTTAGCATTTTTTATACTGGATAAAATTTCTGTTATTTTCGTTCGAGGAGTGAATTTACGCGCAAATTGTATAAAAAAACAGCTAGCTAATCGGAAGGCGTGGTTTCCAATCCGGACTCGCCACCGATCACAACTGTCACTTTGACTCATCACTCAAATGATTAGGCGCCGTGTTAGGTCCCCGGAGCTAGGGATCCCACTAGGCTCCCACTTCCAAGGAGTCGGCAGTTGGCCAACTGGAGAGAGCCGAGAGTAAGTGTGGGTCAGTCCGAGGTGCGCGCAGACGGCTTTCTTAACCGGCACTCAACTCAAGGGTCTTTAAGGCCGAGATACACACTTCTCTACTCTGGTCAAAAATCACGCTTGAGCACGGCCCTCCTCTAAATCCTGCTTCTTTATTGGCCTCCACCCGTCGTCGGCTGCAATCTAAACCTCCCGCTGTTGCCCAGAGGCTGCTCTAAAAATTACTTTTTTTCTTGGCGTCACCGGCAGGTTCCTCTGTTCCCGGGGAGACTGCAGCGGAGGAAGGGGGCTCCGGAGTGGCTGTTTCCGGGGAGACCTCCGTGGGGCCGTCGCCGTCAGCGGCAGTCGGGGGGGTGAGCTGCAGCGCGGATTCCGACTCCTCAGCCATCTTGCGCGGTGGGAGGCGAGAGCGGAAGTGGCGGCCCCGCGCTCACCGTGGGCGCGCTTGACGCCGGAGACCGTCGCTAAGGAGGCGCTGTAGGGGCACCCAACCCAGCAGTGAAAGTTGACGTTGCTGGCTGGTCCCCCGTGTCGAACCTGTCGCAAACCCTCTACCTGCTGTTTTCCCACTGCAACACACCTTCGGAAGGGGTCAGGGAACAACGTCCCAGCGTGCCGCCGACTGCGCAGGCGCCCCTCCGGCTGGTGGCGCTAGGCCTGCAGATATTTCCGCTTCCCTCCGCGATGGCCCCGCCCCAGTCTGGCCCCGCCCCGCGGCCCGGGAGCGCGCGCGCGCGTGCGAGCGGGAGAGGGGCGGGTGGGGAAGGATCGCTGGCGACATCCCGAGGCGAGGCTCGCGCGCCCGCCCCCGCCCTGGCCCCCAGTGCCCACCAGGTGGGCCCGGCTCAGCCATGATCAAGGCGATCCTCATCTTCAACAACCACGGGAAGCCGCGGCTGTCCAAGTTCTACCAGCCCTACGTGAGTATCCCGCTGCCGCCGCCGTCCGGGCGAGGGGGTGTCGTTGGCAGCAGGCAGCGCCCTCCGCGCGATCCCCTCCAGCGCGCCGCGGCCGGGCTCGCGCGGCCGGGCTGTCAGCCTCCGGTGGGTGTGAGCCGGCCGCCTACCGCCCGCCGCGCGCCCATCCGACGTGGCTCCGCCTGGGCGGCTCGTCCGCCCGTCTGGGCTGGGTGGTTTCCCGGCTGCGCGGGCGAGGCCCTGGACACTTGCGTGTGCGGGGCCGGGGCCGGCCGGCAACCTTAGCGCCCCCGCGCCCGCGCGCCCACCCGGCGCTCGGGCCTTCCTGCCGCCCGCGGTCTGTTGGCTGCCGAGGAAGCCCGCGCCGAGCCCGTTGGGCTCGCAGCCCCACCTCTCTGCCCCCAGCCGCCCCTAGGGGACTCCTTTCTCTCCCCCGGTGGGCAGATGGGCTCCTGGTTTCCACCGTGAGCCCTCATCGCGCAGGGACTTGGGCGCCCTGCCTCTGGACCACTGCGCGCTCCTTACGGTGTCTCCGGGTGCCGCTATGCCTGATGGACCGTCCAGTGTGGGTTTCAGGTGCCTCCTTATTAACGAATAAATTGAGGACCCAACATTTTGATCCGTGTTTTCCCCTAGTGGCTGTAAATTATTCGCTCCTGAAATAACTGGCGACGTTTGTTATCGCCCGGTTAGAGCTGTGATTCTTATCTGGAAGTTACTATTTCAGTGGCTGGACTGGCATTTGTAAACGTAAGGGAATTTGCGCTGTAGTTTTTCCTCTACTCGTGAAGAATGCTAATATTAGTGAAAGTCTGACAAGTGTAAATAAACGTTGTTGAAAAATGCAGGCGGCTTTAAGGTAGTAAAGGTAAGTGATTTGTTCATTTAAATCGAGGAAGGGTTAAAAATGCATGTGCCTGTTTGAGAGCAAAATCCACCACTAGTTAAGACAAAATTGGGCTCTCAGCGGTAGGATTAATGTAGATACATAACTACTGCATCGTCCTGGGGGCATTTTGCTTATCGCTAGAAATGAACTTTCAATTAAATGGTGAAATCGTGCCAAGACTGCCACTTTTGCGCAGATAATTCCCATATGGAAATCATTCGTGCCATTAAAAATTAAATGTGAAAATGTTACTGCCTAAAATAATAATGCAATCTGTGGAGGTGTTAGCTGAAGTGAGAAATCTTGAGCTGATTCCTCATTTCCTTAAGTGGTTTTGCTTTTGCTAGTGATAAAGGATATTTTCTACATTGCCTGTTTGGTTTTAGTATAGTATAATTTAAATCCTGATGATCTATTTAAGAATTCCATGTTCTTTACTCCAGGATAAACTTACAGTTGATACTTCTATGTGAAAAAAAATGCCCATAAACTTTCACTGTTACCTATTTGCCTAAAATAACAGTACTAGCTATTACTGAAGGAATCTTTCTGTAGTCATTTTGCCTGTGACATCCATTCATCGTGTAGAAAAGGTACAGTCCAAAATTAGTACACTAGAATTAAAAAATGTGTTTTCCCATATGGACACTTACTAATTAAGCCATTCAAAATAGTGGGTTTCTTGGCTAATCCATGTCAGTCTAACTACTCCTGTACTGGAGAATTTAACCATCCACAGAAAAAGGCATTTAATTTGGAAATCCAGGAATACATCTTTCTCTTGCCCCAAAATGCGAAAAGAAATATCTTTACCTTTCTTTTTTTTTTTTTTTTAATCTTTACCTTTCTTAGTAGGTAGTAGTGGGGGTTAACGTGGGCAGAGGCAGTACTGGCAGCTCTGGTGTCATTTTGCCATTGCCTGCAAGTGATAACATTACTGAAGCAGGGAGCTAAGAGGTTTGGGGAAAAAAGAATATGCTGGTCACTGGATGTGTAGATATGGGAATGCCAGGAGCTGTTTCTGTGCATTAGTCTTCTATAAATTGGGTTTTGCAAACTGTATTTTTGGTCATTCAGTAATAGTTTTATTTATGTATTCGTTTCCTCTGCTAGATCATCACCTATTTGAAGGCAGAAATCCTTTTCATTCATTTATTCCATCAATTGGTTTGTCAACAGATAACTGATTTCATGTCTACTGTGTGTAGGTGGTCTTTAAAAACCTGGAGATAAAAAAATGACTTTTGCTCTTTTGGCAGGGGAATTGACAACATTAATATGAAGTAGACTATACACCATGTCAGATAGTAATACATGCTGTGGACAAAACAAAACAGGGATGAGAGATTGGGAGTGCAAGGTTGACACTTTAAAATAGAATAGCAAGTTCTCACTGAGAAGGTGACATTTGAACAAAGACTTGCAGGAGATAAGGCGGCCAACCTTTTGAGTATCTGGGGAAAAGTCATTCCAAGCAGAAGGAGCAGCAGTGCAAACGCCCTAACGAGCGATTGCCTATTTGAAGAACCTGCCCTGTTTGAAGAACACCAAGAAGACTACATGGCAAGAGCCGACTTTGTAAGGAGGAGTAGGAAATGAGGTCTGTTAGTGTTGGGCATAACAGTTTTTTCTGTCCTCACTGCTTGGAATGTCCTTCCCTCCATTGCCAAACGTCCAGATTTGATCCCTTGTTTCAGGCTTAACTCAAACATCACTTAAGCATTTTCTGAAGTCTTTTATCTTGCTGAAGACTTCTCTTGGTTCTTAGGATTTTATTTTTATCTTTATTATGGCACAGTCTTCTGTTTCACAACCTGTAATTCCTTGGGGCATCCTACAGATTCCTTGAGAGAAGGTATCAGGGTTTAGATATATTTGTGTCACCCCCAGCAATTAACACTGAATGTTGATACGGAATATGCTCAGTAACTCTTTGCTAAATGCATTCATTAAAGTCTCCTAGCTTGAGATGGAGCGTGGATTAGAAGTGGCTTCCAAAGGTTCCTTCCAACTCGTAAAAATTAGTCCTTTATTAACTAGAGGTTTTAAGAATCCATGCCCTTAGACTCATAGACACTGAGAAGTGACTAGTGGTTACCAAGGGGGAGGGGAGGGGAGTAGGTGGGGGCAGGGGGACTGTTGGACCACTGTGATGTACATTTGATGATAAAAAAAAATGCTTTTACAACAGAAATGATGGTGGAATAGCTGTTACTTCAGCTGTTTCTAAGTTGACAGGAGTTTCTAAGTATATATCCAATAAGATAGACAGTTTTGAGTTTAATTTATTAAGCAACAACTAGGGTGTGGCTAGGTTAACAGTTCTGTACCCTGATAGGATGCTGAGGTTTGAGTCCAACAAGAATGGTTTAACACTAAGCACTTTGAAAACTGTTCAACCATTTGCCATCCAGTTTCCCTTACTGCACTGGATTTTCATTCCTCATTTATCCTTCATGATACAACTTACATGTTCATCTTTACCCTTTAATAGTGTAGATTTCCATTCCTGCTGTAATAAATTTTTAGATTTGATTGTGCCTCCAAGTTGCTGTTATGTGTGAGACAGGAAATCACATGTCTCTCTTGCTAAACTGAAGTTTTTTGGTTCATCTCCTAGAGTTGGACATTAAGAATTCAGGAGTGCATTCAGAATGGCATTCCCTTTTGTTTCTGCTTTCTGTATCCTTGGGCTATGACTGTAGCAGTTCAAATGTTTTTCTAGGTTTAATTGTTTCTTTAATTGATGCTTAGTCACAATCACTTGGCTACAATAAATTTAGTCTTTTAATATTTGCCTGGCAATATTTGTGTATTACTGTAGAAGACTAATGACACTTATATTTCATAAACCAGATATATTTTTACATAGCCATCAAACAAGAAAAAAAACCCTTGGCTTATGATTCCTTTGTTAAATATAGAATATCCTTTGGTGAATCAATAAAGTAAAAATGTTCTTCTTTTATGTGAATTATATTAGTTGTTTCCATAGATATAAAAAATTGTATATATGCATGCACGTATACACACACACAAAGTACAAACCGGAATGTTTTTAAACTGTTACATACATGAGTTGCCTCAATTTTCTTATAAAATATAAATGGTTATTAAGTTGTGATTCAACCAAACACAAGCCCTAGAAGGAACTCTAAGATTGTTCTTTCCTTTTTAAAAAAATGTGTTTACATAAAAAATAGAAAGTATAAGTTTGTTTTTTCTTTTTAAAAAATCCTTGTGAAGAGGTATCAGGGTTTACTGATGTCTTTTTTTAGTGACTTAAGACAGTGTTGCAGATGAGGTAAACTTATTTTTATGACCAAGACATAATTGTCAACAGTTCTAAATACTAATTAAGGTGTTAACACATATTAACATAGTATCTGAACTGTTTTGTTAAGAAAATAATACCAAATGATTTGATTTTCTTCCATGTTGATTAGGATGCTTTGCTACATAATTGGATTTTATGTAGCCTGGCTCAAATTTCCTTAAAAAGAACTATGTGTTAGGATACATAGTAGGAAGTGTAGAGTAGCAGACAGAGTCCAAAGTTATTTAATTTAGCAAAGCAACGACTTCATGGTAGATCCAGTTTTTCTTCTTTCTCTGCCTTGTTCTTCACAAAGTTGATATCCAAAGGCTGATTTCCTTCTTGAAATCAGTGATAACCAGTTCAGCCCACAAGGAGAGAGTGATATGTTCCTGGCCATCCTGGAGTCCTTCAGTTTGGTTACTTCTACCCAAGACCACTAACAGCTTACACTAACAGGAAGCTGAGGCTGAAAACATGAATAAAACATAC